TGTGGAAGGGGAGTAACCAACACCGCTTGGCTGGCCTGTCTCCCTCACAGGCGGGTCCCCTGGGGTCTAGTCTCCTCTCCCCAGAGTGGGCTGGGCCTGGGTGGGAGTGGGCGCCTCTGAGTCCCTTCACTGATGTTAGAGTCCTGTGACTCTGGCTAGCTGGGCATGGCAGCCTCACCAACCTACTGCCTGCCTGTCAGCTGACAGACTCATTAGCAGCTGCTGTATGTAATGCACTGTATTGGGAACACCAAGCCATCGAAGGCAAGGTACACACTCTCCTAAAAAGTGTACCCGGGTGCCCACTTCACTCTTTGGAGCAAGAGTTAGCACCAGGCTGGCTCTTTGGTGCCATGGCCCGGGATGGCAGTAGCTGTGTGCTTGGAGAAGGGCAGTGGGCCAAGAGTGGCTGACAGGGACCATGAGTTTCCTGTTCTCTGCCTGTCTCTTGGGCCCTGCGGTCTATGCTGGCCACCGCTTTTTACAACTTGGTTCTTCCTGTTCTCTGTCTTGAGAGTTTGGATGTTGGCCATTCCCGTGTGTCTTGCTAGTGTTCTTAGAAATGTACTCATAAAATGGACTTGGAAATAGAGTTTAGTCATACTTTAAGGTCAGAAGAGCACCCCCCCTTCCCTTAGAGAAGACTTTGGTGAATCCTTGAAAAGAAATAGTGATTTTTATAGAAGCCAGAATCAAATCTCAACTGATCTGGCTCGTGCGTAAGTTGGAGATTGTTGAATGTCAGATTCTCTTACTGAAGTGGTACCCAGGCCCTGTGGCATTGCTGGAGAAGATGCTCAGGGTGAACCCCAGAGATTGGCGCACACAGCGCAGTGTGGAAGGACCAGGCGTCATCGTACACCAGTGGCTTTGTTGGTGATTGAACATGAGACGTTTCATTTCCTTCTGTTTTCTTCTCACAGCGGAGTCCATTGCAAGGCGCATGTGTTTCCTATTTTGTAGCAGGTAGAGGTGTTCAGAATAATCCGGAAGACCTCAAGCAAGTGGAAGGCTAGCCAGATATCATTGATCATTTGATTTTCTGAGGCCCAGATTTGTGTTAGAAACTTTACACTTGAGTTCTATTCTTATTTTCTTTCATGCCATCTCTTCACAGTGTATTATTTGTAATCCTGGTTATGTTAAAGTTAATCAGCTTTGGGCCCCAGGAGTCCAGATACTTTGAACATTCTGTGAAGACCTGCTATCCAAGGTAGAAGTTTTGTTAAGTCCTTGACTCTGGCAGGGAAATTCCTTTCCTTCTTTATGGCGAAGCCAAAAACCCTCCCAACTCTTTCAGAGCCGTGGAGTCCAGTGTCACAGTCGGTGGGTTGTGGACCAAGTCCAGTGCATGCCTCAGAGCAGGAGGAAAGCAGGGAGTGTCCAGCTCGGGTGCCAGCCAAGCCGGGAGCACAGTGCCCTCAGTCTGCGCATTAGTTACCAGGACCCTGTCCAACAGCACGTAGGCCTTTGCACTTGTTCAGTATCAGTGAGCATTTCAAAAATATTTAGCTAATCAAGCTTTTCCAAATGTTAAATTGGTCTTTTCCTTATATCCTGATGAGTGTTGAGATTTCCTTGGGTTTGGAGATAATTAGTAGATTTCATTGATTAGGAAAGGCTTTAAATTGAGAACTCAGAAAAATCCTAGGTCACTCATGGAAAAGAGAAGACAGAAATGAACAGAGAGCAAAAATGTAACTGAAGGAAACACTCCAAGTACTCTGGAGAGCAGACCCAGAATGGCTGTGCCTGTGGTCGACAGTGCCGTGGCCCGGGAAGACCCCATTCCCACACCCCACAGGTATAAGGTGGAAGTTAAAAAGTTGTTTTATTTTGCTCCCTCTTTTATTTTATTCTTTCTGGGTAGTGGAGAAATGATCTCGGATAGGAAAATCACATTAGAATTTTGATAAGTTGCTTTTAAAAATAAAGTTGTTCCCATGCCACAGACATTTGGAGAGGAGTATGTTTATTGAAATATATTTTTATAGAAAATATTACAGAATCTGTAATTGAAAACTTATGGCAGTATTTTGTGGAGTGATACGTTCTTCATGTTAATTCGGAGATTCGCGCTGAACTCCCGTCTGCTGTTTCAGAACTATTGGCTGAGGAACATTTTCCAAGCGTCTTTTCCAGATCTAAACTCTGCTTCATGGAGCGAGTGTTTGGTGCGTAAATAATGTATAAATGCAGGTGGACGAGAGCTGCCTGTCAGTTTTATTAACTTTGACCCTCTCTCCCGTTACAAAGGTGGTCCAGTTAATATTTAATGGGCCCCTTATAGATCTTGACAGTGGGAGCCGTGTTCCTGGAAACTGGGACCCGTATATATGATTAACAAATGTCACTTAATCATTATGAGCCAGCTTGCAAGGGCAGATTTTGTTTTGGGAGAAGAGGAGTCCTTCCACCTACATGTGCTCCCAGAGCCGCACTGTTGTGTCACGTGCGTCCAAGATGCTAAAGGTTTCACAGGAACCCTGGAAGGGCAGGCAGGCGTTAGCAGCACTTGTACTGCGAGGAATTTTGTTTGTTCGAGCAAACGATCCAAAGGATGCCAGGTGGGCAGAATCCCCGCTGCCACTCTCCATCATTAGAGGGATGGCCTCTCGGAGTCAGCAGGGCTGGAAGGGCTGAGTCTGCATGGACAAGAAGAAGGGCCAAAAGGAGAGCCGGCTCTTCAGGCCAGGCAGGGCCTGCCACACTGTCCTCCCGTCTCATTCCATAAGGCCCCGTGCATATTGCTCTCACTGCAGATTCTGGTGGGGAGATCGAAACCCAAGCAGCTGACATCTTGAAACATTGTCTTTCAAACTTGTACTGTCCCTTGCTTCCATTGATTTCCCATTTAACAAATCTGTAGGAGAAAACCAAATTTGAGCAAAATTCATTGGTCTAAGATGAGTTGTTAGGGCCAAATGATGCCCCCCTTTTCCACCCCAGAAGAGCTCTGTTTCTGTTATGAAGGCGATATGTCTTTGTCTCGTATTGGGCGGCCACAGGCTCCCACAGCAAATCAACGGAGTAAATCCAGAGCCCGTTAAGAAGCAGCTCAGGTGCTGCAGACACAGCCGCTCTAGCCTTACTGGGTCACTGAATATCTTCACTTTTATAGCCATTTTGAAGGAGCAGATCATGTTTACTGGCTTTGCTTTCTTCTCTGTTTGTGCACAGCCCTGTGGCTTTAGGTGAGGCATTTATTTTTTTCAAAACTTGTTACTCTTTGCACCCAGGCCTGGCCTGTTACATGTAGTGGTCACCAGTTTCGTTACCACCTAGTGTAATATAGCTGATTCAGCAAGAAAATCCATGCCCTTGTAGAGTATTTTGAAAAGAAATTGACTTGTATAGTTAGTTAATTCTAAGTGTATGAGGGGTTTTGAGTTCTGTTTTTTTGAGATAAGGGTCTTGCTGTGTAGGCTGGCCTTGAACTCACTATGCAGCCTAGGCTGGCCTCAAACTCACAGTGATCCTCCTGCCTCAGCTTCCTGAGTGCTGGGATTACAGGTGTGTGCCACCATGCCCTGCCTAAATGTATGTTTGAAAGAAGAAACATTGAATGTTATAAATCGTCTCAATCCAAAGTCTTAGCTTGACATTTGCATACTTGAGCGTGTTTTATTTACATATGTTCAAAATTGGGATACCTTTCACAGCTAATTTTATTGTGGCGAGATTGCTGACAGCTCCTAGATCTGAAATTTTGCACAGGGTTAAGAAAGGAAGGCAGAAGCCTCTGTTGCACAGTGGGTTGGATGTACGGTGTTCTTGGCAGTGAGTGAGAATGATTGCTTATTTTTGAGTCAGAATGGGAGGTGACCGCGCCAGGGTGTGAGGGAGCTCTGCAGTGGTAGAGAGGGTGTCACTCACGCAGCCGCAGACCTTTCCTCACAGCCCCTCAGACTGCATCTGTAGAGCGTGCACCTTATATCTTACCAAACTGCAGGCTATTTCTAAAATCCTGTTTGGTTTAGAACAAGGAGTGTCGTTTCTCTTTCCCACAGAGAAATTGAAATACTATAAAAGTAACATGATCTGTCCTGAGTACCTTCAGAGCTCAGCAGTTTGTTCAAGAATACAGCAAGGCATGCTGGCGGGGCGCCCTGTTAGGCTACAGCTCCCCGGCCCATTGTGGTTCCAGGTGCCTGCGGCAGAAGTGAAATAGCTCTCTTTCTCAGTCCTCTTCAGCGAGCCAGTACCCGTTCGTTCATATGCCCCATTGTCAGACACATTCAGAACTCGTCTTAGGACCGACACTCAGACCCTCATCCTTGAAAAGGTAGCCCAGTGCCTCAGAGTGCTGGCTCATGCTGTATTTAGTTCCTATGACCAGCTATGTTATGGTCCTTGCTTGCTACCTTCCATAGACTAAGTTTGTGGGTTTTATTAAAAGCAAGACATGACTGTCTCAAGAGTTCTCAGAGCTTTGTTTCTGTGGAAAACCCCTGGATCTTTCTTAGAAAAACAAGAAAAGAAGAGGACATTAGTATTAAAACCATTGCCACCAAGCATATGAATGCAGTGAAACCTGAAGGAGGAGGCTGGGTGTAGTGGTGCACACCTACATTGCCAGGTTCAGGCCCAGCTCCACCAAGGAGTGTCTCAGGGAGCATCTCAAAACACAAAGCAAAGTCAATTCCCTGTTACAGAGAGAAAACAAGGTCAAAATCACCAAACTGCTGGTCTTCAGAACCACTTTTTTAAGTGTATAACTTTTTAATTTAACACAGAGATTTCCTTATTTTCATACTTTAACCAGTGCCCCACTTCATCATTGGGCATCTCACTGCATTGGTCTGGAAGGCTGCGGTGAGCAGCCTGACTCAGTTTCCCTGTTTATCCGGTTACCTCTATGGATCTGTGCCTGAAGCATGCTAGTAGCTGTTTTTGAAGTTATTTAAAATGCCATAGCAGGGTAAGATCATCAGGTCTTGATAGCTGGAGGCTTTTGTCCTGCATTCACAAACGCCGTCTTCCCCTTTTCCTCCCTGCAGTTGCAGTACCACGCGGGTCTTGCATCCGGCCTTTTGAATCAGCAGTCCTTGAAGCGCTCTGCAAATCAGATGGGAGTGTCGGCCAAGCGGAGACCAAAGGCCCAACCCACCACCCTGGTCCTGCCACCTCAGTGAGTGCTGGGTTTGAGAAGGCTTTCATCCCCGCGGGACGCCTGTTCACGCTACTTTGGGCTCACAGAAAGTCACGTTTCTTTAAAAAAGGAATCTAGTAGGAACAGAAGCCAAGTGTGCTGGTGTCACCATTTAGATGCTCCTTTGTAAAGCAGCTACAATGCTGCTAATATATTTTGTGTGTGACTTTCCCATGTAGTAGGAGTTTTAGATATCACATAGCTGAATATGAATATGAATATGATTGTCTGTTCTGCCAGGGAGGCAGCTGAGGAGCACATCTGAAAAGCTGCAGGTGACCTAGGAATCTGCTAGAGGTAGACCCGAGGCACAGCGGCTGTGGGCGTAACCAGTGTTACGGGATCACCCTCACTGGCAGCGATCCCAGCTGCAGTGAGGGGCCCAGAACATACAGCGTGATGCCTTTTTCACACACGAGCGCATCCTTGTAGCCGCCATGTCCAGAGTCCCACAAGGCCCTGTGTTCCCAGTCTGTGCCTGCGTGGGTGTCTTCTTCACCTACACTTAATGCTGCTGTGACTTCTTGGAACAATACTGCCTGCCCTTGAACTTGTTGTAAAGCATATAGTATGTCATCATTTGTGTCAGGTTTTCATTGTAGTCACTGTCTTCTGTTTCTTCTTAAAAATTCATTTTATTACAAGGAGAAATCCTGTGTTTGTTTATTTTTGTGTGTGTTGTAGATTAAGTTCAGGGCCTTGTGCACGCAGAGCAGATATTCTGCTGCAGCCCCAGAGGAGTATTTCAGCTTTTTTTTCACTCGTCATAGTATCTGTTAGGTTTATCCAGGCTGTTTGTTCTTTTTTGTTGTTGTGTAATATTCCTTTAGCTGTGCTGTGATTGGTGTGTCCATTTCCCTGTTGAGTTGCTTTGTAGTAGCAGACATGGTGGGCATGTGCATTCCAGCCCCTGCCGACAGCTTTCCTGTGGTTGGTGTGCACGCACCAGGACAGGGCTGTGCTCCTGAGGGCTGGACCCCGCCCTCAGACACGTTCCTTAGCCTGATCCTGATCTGCTCTCCGGTGCTCACTGTTATTTACATCTCTGAAAACTGCAGTTTTACATTTCCTGCCCCTAAGCCCATTTGCACATGAGATCCAATTGTTTCTCTTTGCTGAAGGTCTCATTTATTTTCTGTTTGGTTAGCAGATAGTTATTGTGTCAGTTGCTTAAATGCTGGGCAGTCCAGGCCCTGAGAATATCGCCAGGAGCAAGGTGGGCATGAGCCCATCTTTCTGGCACTTTTGTAGTAGAGGAAAGGTTGGGGGGAGCTAAATAAATCAATACCATAATTTCCAGTTATGATGGAGGCTGGAAGATTAACAAGCAGCTGCAAGAAAGGGCACGGGGAGAACCTGCTTCATTAGAGCAGCAGCCAGGGAGGCCTCATCGAGGGGGTGACTGAGGCGAGACTGGGGGAGCGAGAGGTCAGAGAGCGCGTGCCCCAGGGCTGGTGCCTGTGGCTCCTTTCTCTCAGGGCTGGGGCTGTCCTGCCACTGTGCCTGTGACCTTAGGGTCCTTTACAGCCCACACTCACTTCCCACACGGGTAAGCACTGCCAGCCCACCTCTGGTGAGTTGATTTTGCACACCTGTGCATGCACTGATGGCCGTGCTTTTGGGAAAGCAGCTGAGAAACAGCAGCATCTTAAGGAACATGTGCTGGCATGGTGACTGTGCCTCGACGCTCAGCACCTCCGCTCTGACAGGCCTTGCAGCGTGTCGATGTCCCTGTGTGGACTGTCTACCATGGCGGGATGTTTGGCAAGAAGTAAGAAACTCTGATGCTCCCACAAGACCAAAGCTGAAAAGCGTTTGTTGCTAACTCTCTCCTGACAAAAGTCAGTTCTTAGTCCATCTGTTCACCATTTGTTAATTTGCATTGGCTGGAAACCTGTTTACAGGTGACAGGCTATTATGAGGACTCTGAGAAACTATTCTAAGCACCAAGGCAATCAAAAGACTTTGTTCGGGTGCCAAGGGAAGAAAGAGAGAGGTGTTCACAACTGTCATTATAAATTTATAATAAATCACTCAAAATACTTAGTTTCAAAGGGCAGAATGGTTAGTGAGTCCCAAGAATACAACAACAAAATGATTTCCTATATTTAGCAGCCTATTTCCTGCAAAAATTGACTGCTGCCTTTTCACATCGAGCTTTTTGGGCTCATTATCTTGGAATCCCCTTTTAGAGCTGCTGTCCAGGAGGCAGGAACTGTAGCACAGAGACGCCCTTTGCACGTTCAGTGAGCACCTACTATGTGCTACTCCTTGTTTGATGTTGACCAGAAACACAACATAGCTGCTGACCTAATTTTACACAAACTGTGTAAAACTTAACTTTTAAAGTTAAAAAGTGAAACATTAACTATAAAACAACAAAGGTACTATTATGGATTAAAAATTGGTGCTCAACTTAACACCAGCTGAATTAAATCAGCATGGTGCTGAGTATAAATGGCCCCACCTGAGGAAAGTCATCAGCATACAGACGTGGAGAAGAAGAGCTGGGCATTGTGGGTTTCTCTGAGTATTGTTGTTTGAGCTATTGGCTCCGGAGGAGCTCGTCATGACTAGCTTCCCCAGTATGAGTTTGACCACTGTCATCAGAGGAGCTTGGGACATTGTTGGTGAGAGTGGCTGTGGTTTACTTTGGGGGAGCTCTGGTCCTTACATCAAGCATCGCTTCCTGGCTCCAGAGGGGAAGATGTGTGCTATTTAATCTCCAGGAGAAACTCGTCATACTGGCTTTCTGGCATGTACTCAGCTTATCATCAGAGGAGCTCGGGACCTCTGTGTTGCTGAGGATAGCTGTGGTGCTTTTCAGGACAGCCCTGGTCTTCACTATGAGCATGACTTCTTGTCTGCAGTGTAGAACCCTCAACCTATCGGCACAGCTCCTTCACCCCACTGGCATAGACTTTCTAGCTTCCATGGTTGACCTTTGGGCCTTCCCAGTGCGGATCCATAAAACAGGCTGGTGTGAGTCCTTCTCGTGGCCTCTATACCTCCAGTTGGCACTGTCATGGGCTCTAGGTCTTCATCTGGACTCATGCAGGACAGCACTGTGGGATCCAGGCCCTTGGCTGAATATTCTGTGTCTTTAGTGTTGTAGACAGATTTCCTGTAGTTTCTTATGTTTAACGCTGGGTAACCATCACAAAATATTATAAATTCTGTGTCCTGATTCTAATTGTTCTCCTCACAACCCCTGACTACAACAGGTACTCTTGAGATTTTGATGGTTATCATTCTTCTTTTTCCTATAGATATGTAGTATATAATTCCTAAAAGCAAACCTTTTAAAAGGATTTTTGGGTAACATTATTTTGTATTACACCTTATTATTGAAAGTAGTTGTTAATGCAAGGCAGCATAATTTGATCTATGGAATAGTTGAATTTGCATATTAATAGTGATGTTACTGTTGTATTCTACACCAGACTCCTAATTATAAAATTTTTTATTGTAAGCATGACATGACCATAAATTAAGTTTGTCATTAAGGAAATCCCTTGAACCTGTTCTAAAACAGCTGCCTCCTCCTCTTCGGCTCTTGTTAACTAAGTGCTACTGCCGAACAGCTTACCCCCGACCAGGGGTTTGCAGTGCCTTCCCTCTGTGCTCTGGGGGCCGGGACTCTGGGGGCAGCCTGTCTGGGTGGCTCGGGGTCAGTCTCCCATCAGGTGCAGGGAGATGGTGGGCAGGCAAGGTCCTCTGAAAGCTCTGCTGGAGTCTGAAGCTCGGCATCCAGGCCTCCATGGCGCGGCAGGCAGGCTGGTGCTGGCCGTGGAGGAGGCCTCTCCTGGCTGTGTGAGCACCCTCACGAGATGGCAGTCTAAGAGAATGAGAGCCAGAGGCCTGGGGTGGCGCAGTGTCACTCGTACTCTACTATCTTACTAGAAATGAATCCCTTTGATGGCCAAAGGGAGTGGAGGGGCTCCCCTGTGAAGCTAGAAGTGTCTGAGACTGTGCAGGCACCTCTGCCGGTCACGAGCAGGAAGAGAGGTCACTCAGGAAAGCCGCCCGGCTCTCAGACTCCTTGGTAATTAATACTCAGGCCTCTGGGGGCTTGGCCTGGTGCGTGTACTGGAGAGTCAGGGTGAGTGCCTCAGCAAGGCTTTCAGGAAGCTCAAGGGAGAGACGGGAACAAGAAGGACAGGACATGGCAGGGCAGGTCCTGCAGTGCCCAAGAAGCAGGGGCGAGCATTCCTCCCCGGGCCACTGTGAAGAGTGAAGCCTTTGCCGGGCGGTCGCGATGCTTTCCCGCATGGGATTCCAACGACAGGCTTGTTTCTGAACAGTGGAGGAAGCCAGCGAAGCCGGGTTGCTGCCCTCCTCGCCTCTTCGGCCCCAGCTCCACTCAGCTGTCTGGAGACCACAGGCGTGGCTGGAGCGCAGATCCGCATAATGTGTTTGTTTTTCAAATGCAGTTGGCTTTAGCAGTAGTAGTCTTTGAAGACTCTGATTCCCTCTGAGTTCTGTAGGATGAGCGATGAATGATTAATGATTCATATCTTCTCCCCTTCCAGAGAAGCTCCTGAGGAGATGAAGATGTTCATGCTGAAAGATCTTTGGCCCGTGGTGGGGAGCACAGTCTTCCTTCCAAGCTCCCCAAGACTCCTCTGCATCTCCTGCAGCACAGGCGCCACCCTTCCCCAGAGGCTGGGTCCCGTTTCCGGGCGAGGCTGAGGGCTGCTGGGCCTTATCCCTTGCGGTATGGGGTCAGCCTGCCCAGCTGAGTGTGTGTGTTTGGTGTTGGTCACGTGAATCTAGGCCTGTTGATGCTGCCTCTGTCCAGGACAGCAGCCTTGACCTGCAGTGCAGTTTCTGGTGTGCTTCCCGGTGGACGTGAGCCGTTGGTTCTGATCCGCATGTCCAGGTTGAATGGCCTGTACACCTGGTCTCAGCAGCAGAGGAAGTGCTGGCTTTCTGTGACAGAGAGAGAAAAGGTACTTTGCACCTAGGGCTCGATTAGG